GTAAATATAAATCTCTTGAGGGGTAGAAATCGTTGTTAAACTTGGCTAAATAGAACAAAGTTTACCTGTAGCGTATACCTCTGAACTTGTCATGAATGTCATACATTCAAATCAAAAGCAAATACATTCAAACAAATTCTAATATTTTCCTCATGGATAGTATCAATTATCAAACAAAACTCAAGCTACTTGAGGTATTTACAAAGCCCAGGGAAAAGTAATGGAAACAAAAGGATATTTGTAAATAGCAATCTAACCTCAGCAGCCTTTCCCTGACCACATTCAGACTCAGACTGCCTTGACTGCCTCTAGAGAGAGGCTTTTAAAACCACCAATTCCCACAATGCACTGCTGTACAAAGATCAAATAATATCATGGAAGACTACTGCCTTAATGTATTCCAAACTTCCAATGGAACAAACCTTTATTTTTGTGCTCTTGTGTTGCAGAACTCTTATTTCCCTCCTATCCCATATCATCCTTTAGCAGTCTGCTCTTAAAATATTTTTACATTATACTATCTTCTTTCAGTATAATCTCTTGATAATAGAGACAGAGCATGGCAATCCATATCTGAGTCGTTCCCAAAGACAAAACAATCCCACTGTACGACTTTCCTTCTAGTTTGATGCTAGGTTATGCTGCACGCATTAGTGGTAGACACACCTTATAATGCTTTCCCAGAGGGCAATTTCTTTTGTACTAATTATAGTAACTTCACAGTGCAAAAAAATGGTGTTACTAAATGAGATATTCCTATACATATAGCCAACCAGGCAAGCCCTGGGAGTTACGATGGAAAAGGGAAATGGATATTCCTTATGCAGGGTATCCTAAAAGTGGTACTGCTGTTTTAAACTATTAAAACTTGTTTAATCTATATTTATTTATGTATATATTTAATTTATACATTTATATTTTCAATATTAATTTATGTAGTAATTATTAAATTAATATAGTATATGGTACATAATATTACATACTATAATTATATATTGTGTATAACATCATATATGTTACTATATTAAGATTAACTGTTTATATCATATATTAATAATATATTGATTTGTTATATATTTTTATGTTTAACATATATGTATTTATATATTAAAGTTTACTTATTTAAGCTATTAAGCTATTAAACCTTAAAACAGTACTAAGACTTTTGGGATAGCATACACACATACACACACACACACACACACACACACAAATCTTATTAAATAAACCAAATCATATCTGTGATTTGGTTTACTTAATAAGATGTATGTGTGTGTATGTATGGACATATACATACATATGTATATATGTGTATGTACGTGTCGTGTATATATATATATATATACACACACACACACATATCTCTGATTTGGTTTACTTAATAAGATTAAAATACGTAATAGATAAATTTGGAACAATGACAACACATTTCCATATTAATTAAAGGGCTTGTTGTTACTGGTTAGTCATTTTCGGTCATGTCTGACTCTTCATGATCCCTTTTGGAGTTTCCTTGGCACAGATATTGGAGTGGTTTGCTATTTCCTTCTTCAGCTAATTTTACAGATGAGGAAACTGAGGTAAACTGGGTTAAGTGACTTGCCCAGGGTCATATAACTAGTAAGTATCTGAGGCCAGATGTGAACTCAGGTCCTCCTGACCCCAGGACCAGGTACTCTATCCATTGCACCTACTCAGCTGCCCCAACTAAAGGGTAAATATTTCCAAAAAATCTTGACAACTTGGAGAAATAAAGGATATACATGTAGGATAACATGCAGGATAATTCATATGAAATGAAGAATAAAAATTTAAATTTGTGGAAGAATGAATAAACAAATATAAGTATTGTAGAAAAACACAATAGTCTTAATATATTGCATGTTCAGTAGGCCACATTAATTATTGCTGCTCTTTAAAAGCTTAGTATGATTCTAGAATAAGACATTATGAGTGTGGAATATACAAATTTTAATATGAGAATTAATTCTGGTCCTTTTTTAGTACAGTATGCTATGGCACATTTTAGCTCTTGTATTCAGCAACTGTCTTTAAGACTAACAGAGTAATAGAAAGGAGCTTAAGAGAGGATAGTGAAAATGATGAAAGCATTGAAATTAGAGATGAAGAAAAAGTAAAACAAATAAAGGACTCTTTCAGAAGAGAAAATTCTGAGGTGAATATGCAACAATTTTTTTTTTTTGCATTTTATCATGACTGTTACAAATGCAGGCTACCCACCACTGGGCCCTCACTGATATCACCTCCCTAGTTCTTAGTTTTATTTGTTCTCAACATGCTATTTTATTCCTCATACAGATCTGTTTGAAATTTCTTCTTCACTCTCAAATTTCTAAGCTCACACTGAACATCTCTTTCAACAGACTTAATACAGAGATCAGAAGCTACTCAGCAACTTACAGTCTTTGACAGCTGCCTGGAGTATTAAACTTCTACTACTACTACTACTACTACTACTACTACTACTACTACTACTACTACTACTACTACTACTACTACTGCTACTACTACTACAACCAGTAGTAGTTGTTGTTGTTCAGTCATTTTTCAGTCCTGTCTAATGCTTTGTAAGCCCATTTGGGGTTTTCTTGACTAAGATACTAGACTGGTTTGCTATTTCCTTCTCCAGCTTATTTTACAGATGAAGAAACTGAGGCAAACATGGTTAAGTGATTTGCCTAAGGCCACGCAGCGAGTGTCTGAAGTCAGATTTGAATGCAGGAAGATGAGTCTTTCTGACTACAGGCCTGGCACTCTATCCACTGCACAACTTAGCTGCCCATATTGCTACTATTACTACTACTACTACTACTACTACTACTACTACTACTACTACTACTACTACTACTACTACTTACTAGCTAGCTAGCTAGCATTTATATAGCACTTTGTAACTAAAAAGCATTTTACATATATTATCTCACTTGATCCTTATAACAACCATCTGAGGTAGGTACTATTATCCCCATTTAATAAATGAGAAAATTAAGGTAGATAGAGGTTTAAGTAACTTTTCCAAGGTAAAGCAAGTAATAAGCATGAGAGACAAGATTTGAAACCAGGTCCTCTGACTTTGGAACCGGTGTTCCTTTCACTGTACAATGCTGTCATTTTGCCTATAGTCATAATTTAATAAATACTTATTGAATTGAATTGAATGAAGGTAGTGCAGTGGAAAGCATACCTGGTTTAGAGGTAAGGGATCTAGGTTCGAACCCCAGTTCTGCCACTTATTACCTCTGTATGCCTTTAAGTAAATCTCATGACTTCTCTGGGACTCATTTGGCTCATCTGTAAAAGAAGGATTTAGGTTAGATGACTTTAAGGCCACTTCAAGCTCTACACATATAGTCTATAATCCTAAAAATCAAAAAGGCTTGGTGACTAGTGATCTATAAGGAGGAGAAGCGAGAGCCAAAGAATGATGCCAAGCTTCCAAACCTAGAAGCACATTGAAGGGGGAAGATGATCAATTGCTTTCTCTTTCTACCGAGAAGAAAGTGGGCTAAATAGAAAAAAAAACAGAAAAGAAAAGAAAAACCAAAAGAAAAAAGTCCAACAATAGAAATTTTCGCTGGCCTCTTTTGCATCACCATCTTTTTTGGTTCATTTCACATCAACACTTTCAACACCAACTTCACTTGGAATTCTTCCTAATGTCTCCTAAATGTGGATTCTATCCTTGATCTCCCATAACTTCTACTTGGTGGATTTATCATCGTGATTCTTTCTATCATTTATATCCAGGTGGTCCCCAGATTTCTTTCTCTACTCCTGACCTTTTTCTATTTGAATAATCTATTTTCTCTTAATGGTTGCAGGGTATTCTCAGCTGGCTGCCTTCCTGTCTCTTAGAACTCAACTTGACAAAGAAAGAACTGCCTAATTCAGTCTGAACCTTTTCTATTATCAAACTTTTCTAATAATCTGAGAAATATTTCTTTCCTTTAGCTTAAACTATGGTGTCCCTTTCAAAAATTGCCTATTTTCCTTTCTTGTATTCAGTAATTTTTGTACTTAATCAAAATTATAAATCAAATGTTAATTATGTACTGCGTTAGGACAAAAGAAATAGTAGGCATAAACTCTTTCCTTAAGTAACTTATAATCCACCTGAACACATACAATAGTAATAATCATACTCATAATGCACAAATAAAATGTAAGTCAACAATCATTTAGTGCAGGAGTTCTTAAGATTGTATGTAAATGTCTTAGATCACTTTGTTAGCCTCATACAACTTATGGACACCCCTGTCAATGTAAATTTTTAAATACACAAAATAAAATACATGATTTCAAGGAAAACCAATTATATTAAAGGCATATGGACAGACAGAGAGATAGATAGATAGATAGATAGATAGATAGATAGATAGATAGATAGATAGATAGATAGATTTTTTTCCCATTCAAGTTTATGGACCTACTGCTATCTATCCACAGAATCCTTGAGGCCATTGGGTTTGGGAGGAATATATGATTTGGATTTTGAATACATTGCAGGATTTCAACATATTTAGATAGGTACTTAAGAAGGTATTGCAGTCAGAAGGAATAACATGAGCAAAGACATGAAAGTAAGGAAATGCTCATTATTCTCATGGAATAATAACTTTGGCCAACACCAAATGATATCATGAAAATGAAATTAATTATGTTTTAACAGGAAATATTTGGTTAGTGATGTGGAAGTCATTTTCTTATCAACTAAATATATCCATTCACACCAATGATTAGATTAATACCAAATGTGAAAATATTACATGTAATTGAAGTAAGTTCAACCCAATCTTCTTAAACAGGCTGTTGAATTTTTTTTTTTTTAAATGGGAACTGGGTAAGTGAAGACATTGACATAGACTACCATCAAGGAAGTTCAACCAATATAAATTAATTGCCACAACAAAGAGACTGAAAGAGCCTGGAAAACAACTTAACCAACAAACATACTTGATCTTATTTTCCAAGCAGAGAGA